GTAGCGAAGTCTTATCAGCGTTGGCTAACACTTCAATAACGGCGTATCTTGAGGATGCTCCAGTAAGATACAGAATAGGCCCAACATGCGTACACGAGCTCACCTAACCAACTCGTCGTATTGTGCCAGACTCATTGGCTCGCTCTCCGTCATCACAATTTCGGGTGTTTGCTGACACTCACTCGGTGCCTAGCATACGAGTAACCAACATAGTGGTATCGCCATATCACAAAGCCCACCTCAGGAGAGGTAGTTTCTGCCTCCTCTCCTCCCAGATTATTCTCTACTGGCGGCTGGCCCTCAGCAGGAGGAGGCATCAAGCGCCCTTTAGGGCCCATTTGGAAGATTTGGTCACCAACACTGTGGATGACCTAAGGCAACAACTTGATAGGGAAAGTCTTACTCTCGAGACTAAGACAGAAGTATTCAAGTTTTCCCCCTCATCACCTCAACAGCCTTGCCGACTACTCCCATAGGAGCACTCTCAGCCGCATTCAACTGAGTGCTGCTCAACACTGATCGCCCTATAGGAAGCACTGGTGTACTATTGATGAAAACTACGTCCTTACCGATAGCCACGTAAGGGCCATTATCATCAACTCTAACAGCACATACCACACCAGCATCGAAAGGCTCTTGGCTTTCCACCCTATTCTAAGCACACTCACATGGTGATCATCATTACGTTGCGACTATACTACCACTCCAGGTAGCATTAGGTCAGCTCCTCTTGCTAGAAACCGCACCACATTTTCTGATATCTGAATACACTCTTGTCAAGCACTTCCCTATACACAGCGTTCTCCCTACTATATAGCGGACTGTTGTCAATCCCTGTGTACGATTGAGCCCGAATACTGTAGGGTATAGCAAGGTCGAGCCATGCAGTTTGAACAGGACGGGGATGTTGCCCTCAACGATATAGATAGTGGTCTTGCTTTCCAAGGAGAGCTCCGAGACCGGCCCAGTCCCCAACAGGGAAGAGGTAGATGCCTCTGGGTACTGCCCAAGGATCTCCGCGATAAGCTGAGCAGGACAACACGATTAGTCCACAAGATACTCCACCCCTGCGCACTATGAAGATTTCCGCTACCCTAGTAGCACCTTCTTTTTATCCTTTCCCCCGAGCCTCGTTTCTCTCGTATGTCCCAAGGGCTTGCGAAACATTGGGAATCAGTGAAACAAA